CACTATGTTGAATAGGAGTGGTGAGAGAGGACATCCTTGTCTTGTGCCGGTTTTCTAAGGCAGTGCTTCCAGCTTTTGCCCATTCAGTATGATATTGGCTGTGGGTTTGTCATAAATAGCTGTTAATATTTTGAGATACATTCCATCAATACCTAGTTTATTGAGAGTTTTTATCATGAAGGGATGTTGAATTTTATCACAGGCCTTTTCTGCATCTATTGAGATAATTGTACGGGTTTTGTCATTGGTTCTATTTATGTGATGTATTACATTTACTGATTTGAGTATGTTGAACCAGCCTTACATCCCAGGGATGAAGCCGACTTGATGGTGATGGATAAGCTTTTTGATGTGCTGCTGGATTCAGATGGTCAGTATTTTACTGAGGATTTTTGCATTGATGTTGATCAGGGATATTGGCCTGAAATTTTCATTTTTTGTTGTGTCTCTGTCAGGTTTTGGTATCAGGATGATGCTGGCCTCATAAAATGAGTTAGGGAGGAGTACCTCTTTTTCTGTTGTTTGGAATAGTTTCAGAAGGAATGGTACCAGCTCCTCTTTGTACCTCTGGTGAAATTTGGCTGTGAATCCGTCTGGTCCTGGGCTTTTTTTGGTTGGTAAGGTGTTAATTACTGCCTTAATTTCAGAACTTGTCATTGGTGTATTCAGGGATTTGACTTCTTTCCTGGTTTAGTCTTGGGAGGATGTATGTGTCTAGGAATTTATCCATTTCTTCTAGATTTTCTAGTTTATTTGCATAGAGGTGTTTACAGTATTCTCTGATGGTAGTTTGTATTTCTGTGGGACCAGTGGTGATATCTTGTTTATCATTTTTTGTTGCGTCTATTTGATTCTTCTCTCTTTTCTTCATTAGTCTGGCTAGTGGTCTATTTTGTTAATCATTAAAAAAGCAACCAGCTCCTGGATTCATTGATTTTTTTTTTTGAAGAGTTTTTCATGTCTTGTCTCCTTCAGTTCTGCTCTGATCTTAGTTATTTCTTGTCTTCTGCTAACTTTTGAATTTGTTTGCTCTTGCTTCTCTAGTTCTTTTAATTGTGATGTTAGGGTGTCGATTTTAGCTTTTTCCTGCTTTCTCCTGTGTGCTGTAAGTTTTCCTCTAAACACTGCTTTAGCTGTGTCCCAGAGATTCTGGTACATTGTATGTTTGTTCTCATTGGTTTCAAAGAACTTACTTATTTCTTCCTTAATTTTGTTATGTACCCAGTAGTCATTCAGGAGCAGGTTTTTCAGTTTCCATGTAGTTGTGCAGTTTTGAGTGAGTTTCTTAATCCTCAGTTCTAATCTGATTGCACTGTGGTCTGAGAAACTGTTTGTTACGATTGTCATTCTTTTGCATTTGCTGAAGAGTGTTTTACTTCCAATTATGTGGTCAATTTTAGAATAAGTGTAATGTGGTACTGAGAGGAATGTATATTCTGTTGATATGGGGTAGAGAGTTCTGTAGATGTCTATTAGGTCTGCTTGGTCCAGAGCTGAGTTCAAGTCCTGAATATCCTTGTTAATTTTCTGTCTTGTTGATCTGTCTAATATTGACAGTGGGGTGTTAAAGTCTCCCACTATTGTTGTGTGGGAGTCTAAGTCTCTTTGTAGGCCTCTAAGGACTTGCTTCATGAATCTGGGTGCTCCTTTATTGGCTGCTTATATATTTAGGATAGTTAGCTCTTCTTGTTGAATTGATCCGTTTACCATCATGTAATGGCCTTTTTTGTCTCTTTTGATCTTTGATGGTTTAAAGTCTGTTTTATCAGAGACTAGGATTGCAAGCCCTGCTTTTTTTTTGCTTTCCATTTGCTTGGTAAATCTTCCTCCATCCCTGTATTTTGTGACTGTATGTGTCTTTGCATGTGAGATGAGTTTCCTGAATACAGCACACTGATGGGTCTTGACTCTTTATCCAGTTTGCTAGTCTGTGCCTTTAAATTGGGGCATTTAGCCCATTTACATTTAAGGTTAATATTGTTATGTGTGAATTTGATCCTGTCATTATGATGCTAGTGGTTATTTTGCCCGTTAGTTGATGCAGTTTCTTCATAGTGTCAATGGTCTTTACAATTTGGTATGTTTTTTGCAATGGCTGGTACCAGTTTTTCCTTGCCGTATTTAGTGCTTCCTTCAGGGTCTCTTGTAAGACAGGCCTGGTGGTGACAAAATCTCTCAGCATTTGCTTGTCTGTAAAGGATTTTATTTCTCTTTTGCTTATAAAGCTTAGTTTGTCTGGGTATGAAATTATGGGTTGAAAATTATTTTCTTTAAGAATGTTGAATATTGGCCCCCACTCTCTTCTGGCTTGTAGGGTTTCTACAGAGAGATCTGCTGTTAGTCTGATGGGCTTCCCTATGTGGGCAATCTGACCTTTCTCTCTGGACGCCCTTAACATTTTTTTCTTCATTTCAACCTTGGTGAATCTGACGATTATGTGTCTTGGGGTTGCTATTCTTGAGGAATATCTTTGTGGCATTCTCTGTATTTCCTGAATTTGAATGTTGGCCTGTCTTGCTAGGTTGGGGAAGTTCTAGATAATATCCTGAAGAGTGTTTTCCAACTTGATTCCATTCTCCCTGTCAGTTTTAGGTATACCAACCAAACATAGGTTTGGTCTCCTCATTTTGTTTATTTTATTTATTTATTTATTTATTTTTGAGATGGAGTCTTGCTTTGTCACCCAGGCTGGAGTGAGTGCAGTGGCACGATCTCGGCTCACTGCAACCTCCACCTCCCAGGTTCAAGCAATTCACCTGTCTTAGCCTCACGAGTAGCTGGGACCACAGTCACCTGCCACCGCACCCAACTAATTTTTATATTTTTAGTAGAGACGGGATTTTACCATATTGGTCAGGCTGGCCTTGAACTCCTGACCTCAGGTGATCCACCCACCCCGGCCTCCCAGAGTGCTGGGATTAAAGGCGTGAGCCAGCTGGGCACAGTGGCTCACACCTGTAGTCCCAGCACTTTGGGAGGCCGAGGCGGGCGGATCACGAGGTCAGGAGATCAAGACCATCCTGGCTAACATGGTGAAACCCCGTCTCTACTAAAAATACAAAAATTAGCTAGGCGTGGTGGTGGGTGCCTGTAGTCCCAGCTACTCGAGCGGCTGAGGCAGGAGAATGGTGTGAACCCGTGAGGCAGGGGTTACAGTGAGCCAAGATTGCGCCACTGCACTCCAGCCTGGGCGACAGATCAATACTGTGTCTCAAAAAACAAAAAAAATAAGACGTGAGCCACCGTGTCTGGCCAGCAATTTCTTTTCTATCCTTTTAGGAACTGATTTTTGTATTCAAGGAAAAAAATTTAATTTAATCTGATTGGTGGTATATTTCTATTCATTTAATTCAATTTGTTTTCCTTATTATTTAGAATAAAACCCACATTCTTGACGTAACTTCTGAGGACCTAAGTGACATGCCTCCCCCATCCTGACCCCTGGACCTTGTCTTCTACCCCTTCCCCAGCCACACTGACCTTACTGTTCTTGGAGTTTATCAAGTGCACTGCTACCTCACAGCTCTGCCCATCGTAACCTCTGTCTTGCATCCCCCCACCTATAACTGTATGGTCTGCCTCTTCATTCCAGGATTCTGCTCAGTTTTAAACTTAGCATAGAGGGCTTCTTTGACCATCCATCTAAAATACCAATCCCTTGGGCAGGTGCAATGGCTCACGCCTGTAATCTCAGCACTTTGGGAGGCCAGGCAGGTGGATTACTTGAGGTCAGGAGTTCGAGACCAGCCTGACCTACATGGTGAAATCCCATCTCTACTAAAAATACAAAATTAGCTGGGTGTGGTGGTACACGCCTGTAATCCCAGCTTCTTGGGAGGCTGAGGCAGGAGAATCACTTGAACCTGAGAGGTTGCAGTGAGCCGAGATCATGCCATTGCACTCCAGCAACAAGAGCAAAACTCAGTCTCAAAAAATAAAAAAGAAAGAAAAAATAAAATACCAGTCCCACTCCTCCAAAACCCCCAGTAGTTTTTCAGTGTAAAATAAACATACATTCAAAAAAGCGTACTGTATGTACATGTACATTTTAAAGGTAATTGTGAAGTGAGCAGCCATGTGACATAGGTCAGTTGAATGTCACCAGCACCTACCAGGGCTTGTGTTTACCTTCTTGATCACAACCTCTTGATCACAACCTCTTTCCTCACCTCCTATCCAGGGAAAACCATGATTCCCAGGTTTTTAAATAATTATTTTCTTGTTTGTGTTGATAGTTTTACCACCTGTGTGTACATCTAGTTATAGGATGTTTAAAATTTTATTTTCTTTCATTTGCTGCATTATTTGCTTTTCTCTGAGTTTGCTTTCCTTGTTTTTGTCTATTTTTGATGTTGGAAACGTCTCAAATATTTTAATGGTCCTTGGTGGTTTGTTGACATTTAAAAGTAAACCACTATCGAAAACTGATTGGAATCTGAGTTGGGGGTGCTTTTTGAGTGGTACATTTCACTGTAGGATTGTCAGGCAGAGACCTGCCCATTTGTCTGCATATGAATCATTTCATGTGGGAACAGTCAATTTCCCTATAAAGAAATCCTTCATGCTCCTCCCTGACATACGTATTTTGCTGCCAGTGTTTTGGCAATCAAATGGAGTGAAGGTGACTAGTAAGAATCTTACTGTTGGGGACATGAATTTATATTTAATCTCAGGTCTTTCTGGTTCCCCCTAGTTCTTAATCTCTCTAGGTCTACTTCTTCAAAGAATATACACACCTTTCTTCTTGGAGTACTCAGTTTTGTTTTGTTTTTTATCTCGATGTACATGCCACATACCAGACTAGGAACTAAGTTGCTGTAACTCAAGATAGTTATAATTTAGGGTATGGTAGGTAAAAATAGAAATTGGGAGTGAAATGGAACATAATCATTCTGTCCTTGGCAATGAGTTTCTGGTAAAACAAACTAACCTCGATCAAGTTTTTTTTTTTTTGGTCATATAAATGTAAATGCAATTATAATCTTTTTATCTCCATTCAGATTTTAGGACAGCAAATTAATGACTTTACCCTTCCTGATGTCAACCTTATTGGGGAGCATTCTGATGCAGCAGAGCTTGGAAGGATGCTTCAGCTCATCTTAGGCTGTGCTGTGAACTGTGAACAGAAGCAAGGTAATTTGTTTCAAGTTCATGTTTGCATTTAAAATAATGAAGGAAAGTATTGTATATTGTATATTTATATATAAATCACCAGTATCAACAGTAACATCTGTTTAAGGCCACCCCCAAAGAATGCCATTTTCTACAGTTTTACTAGTAATTTGTTTTTAAGCTTAAATGAATTTTGCACATTAAAATAAATTTGATTGGGGTGATATTTTTTCCTTAGTGCAATACCACACAATTCCTTGAGTAGATAATGACACTGAATGCAGTGAAATTTGCTGGTAAATTGACAACATCTACCTAATCTGGAAAAAATGAGCAGAGACATACAGCAGTTTAATAGATATTCAGGTCTGCCTTCCCAACATATATCTGTAACAGATGCCTTCAGGTTTTCCTTTTCTTTTTTTAGGCATATTGTATTTGGAAAACATTTGCAAGTTTGCCTCTGCTGTGGGGAAAAAGAGAGGGAAGAGTATCATTATATGCAATGTTTAAATAATAAAAAGAAATTTTGAATTGGGTTTCCTAACCCAAAATCTGGTACATACTTTTCCTTAAGAAATTACTCCCTGTCAAAGATCAGATAGTTGTAGATGTGTGGTGTTATTTCTGAGGGCTCTGTTCTGTTCCATTGGTCTGTATCTCTGTTTTGGTACCAGTACCATGCTGTTTTGGTTACCGTAGCCTTGTAGTATAGTTTGAAGTCAGGTAGCGTGATGCCTCCAGCTTTGTTCTTTTGGCTTAGGATTGACTTGGCAATGTGGGCCTCTTTTATTTGGTTCCATATGAACTGTAAAGTAGTTTTTTCCAATTCTGTGAGAAGTCATTGGTAGCTTGATGGGGATGGCATTGAATCTATAATTACTCTGGGCAGGTATGGGTTCCATTGTTTCATTAATATTTGAGTGCTTCCTCTCATGCATTGGAAGGTATCATTCATTTGTACTTCTCTTTGATTGTGAGCTTGAGCGTGGTTTTAGGTTCTCCTTGAGACGGGCTTCACATCCCTGTGTGTAACGGCCTCGATTCAGGGTATTTTATTCTGCTGGAAGCAGTTGTGCATTGGCGTTGGTGAATGGGAGTTCATCATGATTTTGGCTCTCTGCTTGTCCTTTATTTGTATAGGAATGCTTGGATGTTTTTGCACATTGATTTTGTATATGCCTGAGACTTTGCTGAAGTTGGCTTATCGAGCTAAGGGGATTTTGGGTCTGAGAGTATTCGCGGGTTTTCCTAGACATTATTACAATCATGTCATCTGAAATAGGACCATTTGCCCTTCCTCTTTTCAATTGAAACCCTTTTTTTCTTTCTCATGCCTGATTGGCCTGGCCAGAACTTCCAACACTGATGGTTGAATAGGTATGTGGGTAAGAAGGGATCCTGTCTTGTGCAGTCTTCGTAATCGCGATAATGCTATGTTTTTTGTGATGTCAGTATGATTATTTGGCTGTGGGTTGTCATAAATGCCTTATTATGTTGAGATATGGTCCCATATATAATCTTCAATAAGGTTTTTTAGCACATGGAAAGGTCTGCTGATTGTCAAAGGCTTTCTGTATCTATTGGATATTTTTTTTTTTTTTTTTCTTTTTTTGTTGATCATGTGATTTTGTGTCGTTGGTTCTGTTTATATGCTGGTTACGTTTAGTTTGATTTTGCGTAGTTGGAACGGCCCCCCCTTGCATCAGGGATGAAGCCCACTTGGATCGTTAGTGGGATAGGCTGTTTGACGTGTTGCTGGATTCGGTTGCCGTTCTATTTCATTTGAGTTTTGGTGACCGATTTTTTGCATCGAATTCTCAGGATCTTGTCTAAATTTTCTTTCTGGTTGTTGTCTTCTGCCCGGCTGTGTATCAGAATGGTGCGGCTTTGCAGTCAATAGTGTTAGGGAGGGATTTTCTCTTTTTTGTCGATTGGAGATAGTTCAGAATGTATGTAATGGTACCAATCTCCTCTGTTAGTCTCTGAGAATTCAGCTTGAATCCATCTGGTCTGGCTTTTTTTGTGAGATTTGGCTTCAATTTCAGAGTTGTTATGGTGGGTCTTTCAGTGATTTCAACTCTTCTGGATTGAGTTCTTTGGAGGTGTGGTCTGTGTCGAGGAAATTGTTATCTGTTTCGGTCTAGGATTTTCTAGTTTTATTGATATGCATCAGAGGTGTTCATAGTATTCTCTGAGGTAGTGTATGTTTCTGTGGGTTTCTGTTTGGATACCTGCATATATTCATAGAAATGGTGAAACAGATCCCAGTTAACAAATGGTGTGGGATTATACTGGCTAGTCATATGTGTGGAAGTGGTTAAGTCTGTGATTCCTTCCCTTTGTCATTCTACACAAAAATAATCTATGGTATGGATAAGACAAATGTTAGACCTACTAATATATTCATTATCCTGTAGAAGACTATGAATCTATGGTAACGTATGATATCTATAAGGTTATGCTCAATGGATCTTCCATGTTTGAACTCACAAAAGCAATGCAAAAAAGGCCAAAATTGAGGAAATGGGATCTAATTAAATAAAGAGCTTCTGTCACAGCAAAAGAAACTGCCATCAAGAGTGAACAGGCAAGCCTACGAATGGGAGAATAAATTCGGCAATTACTCCTCTCGACAAAGGGTCTAATATGCCAGAATTATCAAAGAACTCCAAACATAAAGTAGGTTTACCAAGGAAAAAAACAACTAACCCCTATTAACAAGTGGGCGAAGGATAATGATCAGACATCTTCTCAAAAAACATTTTATGCCAACATGACTTTACTATGAAAAAAATGCTCATCATTCAT